CCGCCAGCCACTTTTCTCCCGTGAAAGAGGCAGGAGACGCTTGAGTGCTATGCTGGGGGACTAGCACTAGGGGGGCTCAGTGTAACATCAAGGCAAAAACAAGTGTGGGAGGAGCTGGCATTTTGAAAAGCACTGGGTGCAGGTGGTGAGGTGCCATTGCATATACAGCAACACCGCTCTTTCTCCAGGTAAAAATAAACTAGAGGCTTAACTACTATGTGAGGGGCTTGGGGCTGTATTAGTCAGTTTGACATGGAAGCAAAACCGAATAGAAGGTTCTGGGAATGAGTTCAAAACAAGCTTCAGGGCTGTAAAATAGGAGCTTCATTACCAGGAGCAGCTATGGGAGGGCAGAGCAAATGGTTCGCTGGTTCATTGGGGGAACATCAAGCCCATTCGAAAGAAGAGAGGGTTGCTAACACTTGTAGATTGAAGAGTTTAGAAGGGATTATGGATCTGCCGTGAAGTCAGTTGACTCCCTCAGTACTGCCTGACGAGACATGCTGCTGCCACTGCCAGGCAGTTGGTTTTAAACCTTGAGTGAAACAGGAATCAAAGGAGGGTACGAGTGCAACCCACTGGATCTGCCCCTGTATATACATATCCCCTTAGAGCCACATGCTCAAAAGTGTGCGCCCAGCACTGTACGTTGTAAAGTATGTAAGCCATATGTCACCTGAATGTGGTAAATGAGAAGAAGAGAGGGAACTGACAGCAGCCACATATGAGTTACGGGAATTATAAGCATAAATCAAGGCTTATGACTACAGAGGTTCAATGTGAAAAACCTTAAATACTAGACAAATGGTAAGGGAGACTTGCTGGGGGAAAAAATGTGTGCTTGTAACCATGAGAATTCAGAGCACTCTGCGCTCTGATTATAACGTTCTAATCAGGGCCCATGTAAATCACAAGCTGAAATTTTGGCGGTTGGTACAATCCACCCCTGGGACCTCTCTTGTGGGATAGCTCTAGCTCTCTTGCTTCCTCCATCATATCATCTGTGACAGACCTTTTTTCCCCCTCTTTGTTACATAGTAGCCCAGCCTCAGCAGGAGCAGGGAAGGAGATCTCAAATGAGTAATCAGGACTCTTTTTGAGACAGCAAATGTAACTTCAAACCCTTCAAGGAAGTAATTTAACCTGGATCTCCCTCTTCCCGGATGAGTGCTCTGGTCATTAAGCACACAGGTATTGTGCACTTCCACTGCTGTCTCAAGAGGCAAATTTAAGAGAAAACTGTGAGCCTTGCTCAGTTCCTCAAAAGGAGAGTGCTCTGGGCTCTGCATTGCAAATGGATGGAGTCTGTCTGTGGTCCTGACCCAAGTATTTCATTTCTGGAGAGAGGTAAGTGCTTAGCACTTCTCTTGGCTAGTTCTAGGTAGCTCTGTGCTGTACACGCGTGTGTTTCAGATTGTGCTTCTTGGGTGATACACTTCCCCAATGCACTGCACAGGAAGGCCAGGCACCCTGACTTACTCACCTGAAAGCACCCAGGACCTTGTGCTTATGGGGGACTTTTTTTAGCATAATATCTGCTGAGAGGGTAATACAGCAGTGCAGAGACAGAGTCTACCACTATTATAACCAGCTGGGGACAAAGATGGTAGAGCAACTTAAATAGAGGGGAAGCTTTTCTCAATTTGCTACTTATAAACAGGGAGGAATTGGATGACATTTGGAAGTGTAAAACAACATGGATGACAGTAATCTTGAAGTAATAGAGTTCATGATTTTAAGAAGAAGAAGGAAGGAAAACAACAGAATAAAAGTACTAGACTTCAGAAAAGCAGACTAACAATCTCAGAGGAGTGGTAGGCCAGATCCTATGGGAGGCAAGTCTAAGGGAAAAGGGAGTCCAGGAGAGCTAGTTGCTCCATAAAGGGCAATATTAAAGATGAAAGAACATGCTATCCCAATGCAAAGGAAAGCTAGGAAGCGGAGAAAGAGATTGGATTGGCTGAAAATTAGTTACTCAATTACTTGAAACTCCCAAATGTTTTCAAGTCATTGAGTTCTAAAATTAGTTGAATCTTACAAATGTGAAAAATTGCCAATATTAATAAGAAAGAGTACAAGCATATAAGGACAAAATTGGAAAGGCTAACACGTGCATAGGAATACGGTTAGTCAGGGACATAAAAGTAGGGACCTACTGAATTCAGGGCAGCTGCTAACTGATTTTGTGGTTTGAGTGCAACACCATGTGCCACTTTCTCAACAGTGTGGTGCCACTCCCCAGTGTCTCTGATTGGTCAAGGGGCCCCCAAAGTCTCATCTCTCCCCAGAGATTGACAAATGGCCACCTGCCAATCTCCAGGAAGGGACAGGACTTCTGGAGCCCCTCAGCCAATCGGATGTGAGGGAGGCTGCTGCACCCTGCTGCAAAAATCTCCCTGCCCCTGTGCTTCAGGACACCAGGGTTTTGTGCCATTTTCTGTTTTTGCAGTTCTCTTCCCCTGCCCCTACCTGCTGCCAGTTTCATGCCTTTTCACAGTCCTCACACTTTTTTGCGGGGACCGACTGAATTCATAGTTTCTGCAAAAATCACGAAATCAGTAGGTTCCTACATAAAGAAAAGAAAAAGCAGTCTATACATAAGATAGAAGTAAAAGGAAGACCTAGGTAAGTGTAGGCTTGTTACTGAATAGAGCAGGGAAGCTAATAATAGATAATTTGGAAAAGACTGAGGTGTTTCATGCCATTTTAGCTCCTGGCTTCACAAAAAAAGGCCAGCTATCAGATGATAAGCACAGTTAGCAGCACAGATGGCAGGGTTTAAAATCAACCTAGAGAAGGAAGAACACTTTAGAGATTACTTAAGTTAGATGTTTTCAAATCAGCAGTTCCAGATAAGATTCATCTTTATCAGCTGAGGTAATTACAAAGCTGTTGGCTATTATATTTGAGAACTCAAAGAGCTTGGGTGAGGTCCCAGAAGACTAGAAAAGGCCAAATATAATGTCTCTCTTTATAAAAGGGAAAAGGGATAACCTGTGGAATTATAGGTGGGTCAGTTAATTTTGAAACCTGACAAAATACAGGTGCATATAATCAAATAATCTATTTATAGGCACCTAAGGGATAACAAGATGATACCTTACAGCCAACGTGGATTTATTAAGAGCAACCTGTGCATATTCAAACTGATTTCCTTCTATAATAAAATGTCAAACTTAATAATTTGGAAAGAGCAGTGCAAGATGAAAGACTTGGTGGATAGGGCAGAGGAGAACACTGGATGTTACAGATCTCAACTTTATCAAGGCTTTAGAGACTTTCTTGTATATTATTCTCATAAGTAAAGGAAATTTGGATAATCATGGTCAAAGACTAGTCATCAATGGCTTGATGTCAAACTGGGGGAAGGCAGCAAGGCTTCACTAATGGTCTGTTTAAGGTCTGGTACTGTTCAATATTTTCATTAATGACTGGGAAGACAGAAGCAAGCACGTCTTTAACAATTTTTAAGATGACCCCACATTAGAAGAAGTAGCAGACACTTTAGAGGGCAGGATTAGGGTTCAAAATGATGGTAATTTAGAAAAATCAGAAGTTCAGTGAGGACAAGTGAAAAATTCTATACTTGGGAAGGAATGATCAAACACTTAAATACAAAATGAGGAAGAACTGGTTAGGCCACATAAGGCAAAATATTATCAGGGGGCTATAATGGATCATAAGCTGAATATAAGTCAAAGTATTATTGTTTCAAAAAAGCTAATGCATACTGAAATATAACAGCAGGAGCATTTTATGCAAGTCATAGGAAGTGATTCTTCCATTCTAGGAAACGCTGGTGAGGCTTTAGCACTCCACTGCACTTCAAGACATACTGGAGTCTTGAAGAGAAGTCCAGAAGGGAGCAACAGAGAAGATTAAAGGTGGAGGAAACATGACATATGAGGAAGACTGACAGAGGGGGTGGTGTTCAAATACAAAGAAAATTGGTTATAAAGGAGACCAATAAAATGTACTCTGTCCAATGAGGCAGGACAAGTAATAATAGGCTTAAATTGCAACAAGGAAGGTTTAGGTTCAATATAAGGAAGAACTTTCTAAGTTCAAGAATGGTGCTCAGCATCGAAACAGATTACCATGAGTAGCTGTGAAATCCCTGTCATTGGAAGTTTATAAGTCCAGGTAAGACAAACATTTATCTGGAATGCTTTAGACAGGGATGATCCTGCTTTGAGCAGAGGGCTAGACTTGACAATCTCCTATGGTACCTTCTAGCTCTAATTCTGTTTCCAGTCTTGTTGAGTATGTGCCCTCAATCTGCAAGCACAACAATCAAAGATTTTGGTAGGACTTACATACATGTATTGTGCCTATACACTTTGATTCAGATCATCCCTAGTTTCTGAAAAAGATCTGATCCATGATTTTTAAGACAGAACAAAGGTCTTGCCCCTTTTGTGTGACTGCATAAAAAAGAAGAAATAATGAATGTCCTTGTCTGGGATCTTAGATCTCAGGTACCCAGCATTACAGCAACTCTGCTTGCAAAATAGTGAGTGCATAGTTTAACAGTGCATAGTTTAACTGTTTGGAAAATTTAAAAATGTAGGTACTTGAAAAAGTACATGGCCCAAAACATAATGAGCTGCATGTGTTTCCATATGAAAGATTAGTCAATGAGCTGCAGTACTCAGAAGAATAGAGAAAGGGCAGTAGGCATTAGGCTAGGTAGAGACATTGCACACAACCTGTATATAAGTGATTGGAAACGGGACTAAACCTGTACCAAAACAGAAGTTCAAGACTGATTTAAAAGCAGACCCCGATGTAAGATAGATCTGGCTGGATGTAGTATTAGATTTAATTGGTTTAGGTTATAGCAGCCTACCCAGAACCATAGCAAGAGGGGGATGGGCAGGGGGGCAAGCTGGGTGACTGCCCTGGGCACCAAAGCAAAGGGGCACCAACAGGTGCTGCCCAACTGGGGCAGGGCACAGGATGGAGGTGTGAGTGGCTCATTTGGAGGGCACGGGGACAGGGGAAGGGCAACTCTCACCACTGTGTGCACTCTCGGGCAAGCATGTGGCAGGGGGGGCATGTGCCCCCCAGATTTGTGTGCAGGGCGTGTGCGGGCTGTCTCTGTGGGCTTTGCCCCAGGTGCCAAATTTCATTGCTACGGCACTGAGCGTATTGAACTTCTGTCCCAGATCTCATAGCAAATCACCTTCGTTTGCTGTCTTCCAGCATCCCACCGGGCACCCTTCCCAGGACAGTGTGCTAGCTTTGATGGTGTGTGTCTGCTCCGGGTAAGTGCCAGGCCAACTGGGCTAGGCTGTCACAGACAGAAGCCAGAAAAGCCTCTGTCCCTTGTCTGAGCAGCTGCGGGGGGTGGCAGCGAGGAGCGGGTTATAGGGGGGTGCTGGGATGGGTGTGCACAGCAGGGGGCTCTGTTCTCCCCCTCCCTGCAACTAGTTCCTAGTGCAGCAGACAGCCCGGCTCTGAGCCACGGTTCCTGTCTGTGGCTGTTCACTGGGCTGGGAACTGGGGTGGGGGGTCGAATGAAACCCTCCACTGTGTGGACCTGGCCCAGCACCCCTGACCCAAGCCAGGAAGCTGGGGGGGTGGGGGTTGCTGTATGGCAGGGGGCTCTGATTTTTTCCCCCACCCCTGGTTCCCAGCTTGATGGACAGCCACTGCCAGGAACTGTGGCTCAGAGCTGCGTGGTTGTCAGGGAAATTGGGTGGAGCAGGGGGGAGCAGAGCTCCCTTCTACATGACCTCCCTTCCCTCCCCCCTGCCCCCCCATCCAGTGTGCTGGTTTGGGTCCAGGCCTGCACAGCAGGGTGCTTTGTCCTCCACTGTCCCCCTGCCAGATGTTGCTGACAGCTGCCATGGCTCAGAGCTGTGTACCTGTCTGCTGTGCTGGGAACCAAGGGCAGGGTGTGGGGAAATGGCACCCCCAGACTGGAACCAGCATAGCGGGGAGGGCCTGTATGGCAGGGGGCTCCCTCCCTCCCTCCCTCCCAGCTCCCTCTGACAGCCGACAGCTGGCAAGGGAGGCAGGGGCTGGGGCTGCACTGGCCAATCAGGCATGGCCAGCTGCTTGGCTAAGCCTGGAATCCTCAGTAGCTTGCAGTGAGCACTCCCAGCCTGCTGGCCTTGGCCAGTGCAGGCCACCTCTGTGCCCCCCTGCCCCTAAGGGTGAACATGAGTTCTGTTCACTCATGGACTAATCTAGGGCACTTAAAAAAAGCTGCAAAAGTTCATGCAAATCCACCTCAAGCTTTTTGAACCTCTGTACCTAGCCTCAGATTCTGACACAGCAATCTTTAGAAATATGTCTCTAACAATAAGTGCTAGTAATAAGGAGGCAATATTCAGTATATCACAGCTTAGCATCACATGTGATTGCATTGTCCTAGAAGTCTTTTTCTCAAATAATGCATTTAAAGTAACAACAGGAACTAACGTGGAAATATTTGGATCACTATATCATAAATAACCAATATGGCGTACAGGGTGTTCTTGGGTTGTCTGGATGATTTTTTCAGTTTGTGCAGAATCTAAGCTTTCCATTAAAAAAAATTCTAGCCCCTTCATGACTGCAGAGCAAATCCTACAAACATGGCCAGAATCTGCAGCCAGCCTGGAGGAGTGGCATAAAGGAGCGAACTCCCCTGTCCCTCTTAATCTCAGTGGAACAGCAATTCCAAAGAGACTGATGGTGCTTCTATGTCATCATTCCTATTAGCTTTGCTGATTACTTCAGGACCTGGAATATGCACTGGGATTTGATGCAGGCAAAAAAACCACCCCAAAACAAAACAAAGCAAAACCCAAGAAGGAACACAGGAGACTCAGAAAGATAGGAAAGTGGGGTGGGGGGAGAAAATAAAGAAAGAAAGATGGGGAAGGAAGGAAAACAAAGGAGAGAAGTAATGGAGACTGAATGTGATCATGTTTTCACATTGAGAGAACCTGTCTCTGACTATAAGGAACTGTGTAAACAACAACAAATATGAGTGAAGCTACAATATGATGGTTACATTCCCATCTAATTTCTGTGGAAATCTACCATTAGCACTGTAGGAGATATGGTATGAACTGAATGGAGTATGCAGTCTGAAATTTATATCCGAGTCCATAGACTGTGAACACCCCGATGGTGGCAGCATCAGTAGCAATCCCTTGATTTGATGATGATCTCTACCACTGCACATTAATGGGTCTTGAGGTGACTTAGAAGTCCAATCCTTGACCCATAGATCCACCTGCAGAAGTTGCAGGTCTTTCTACAGGGGAGAGCAGGCTGCGATTCCCCTCCTTTCCGTTCCTCCACTCTCTTTTCTCTGCTGATGTAAAATACTATACAAAAAGAAGGGAAAGAATATGACAGTTGAAAGAAGAAAAACTCCTTAAAATCGTTTCCCATTTGTCTTTCTAAATCGTCTGAATGTTTTTCCCGCTAATTGGGTAAAGGAAACCTTCTGTGAACAGTCTGCTTCTTAGAAATAAAGATGATTTCTTTTATGGAATAAAAAGGAACACAATCAACTTGAAATCTAGTTCATTTAAATCAAAGCAGTTTTGGGAGCTGTCATAAGTTCCCCTGACAGTTGTTGAGGTTTTAAACCACATTTTTCATGTTTCATTTTTCTTTTTTCCCCCTCTCCCCCTGTTGCTAGGTAGTGAGTCACACCAACAACAGGAGAAATGAAGAACTTGATCTTGCAAACACCTTGCTCACTGTAGCTGTTCAATTGATTCCAAAACTATAAAGAGTTTACATTCTTGATACTACTACGCACATTCCTAGTTGTTTCCTGAAGCAGAGCCTATCAGGGAAACAAAGAAATTGGGTATAAGCAAGGTGTGGTCAGTCACAACTTTCAAAAAAGAGAGACATTGCATCTCTCTAGTGTCCAATAGTCACAGGAATCACTTAGGTGTCACCTGTAACAGCAGTAGATTAAAAAAGATCAAGACATCTGCTTTTAAGCTGACAGAGTCCTGGGCAGAACCAATATCATCCTGAACTGTGTTCTAGCAATCTTAGGAATCATGCTAAGAAAGGGCACTGAGCCGATATGCATCTTGGCTACCTGCCCCTCCCTGTCCAGAATCTCCCAGGTACAGAAGCCTTGTTACCAGAATTATCCTTTGGCTGCTGGATCCCCTGGATGAATCTATCCCTACATATTTTACTCAGCCCTTCAAACTTTAGTTTCTATTCTTCATCTTTGCTGTTCCTGTAGGGCCTGGGTTTTTTATTTTAACATAAGAAGGAAAAATCACTTTAAAAAAAGGGGGGTTAAAAGTGCAACAATTGATAGGAGCTCAGGGACCCATGAAATATTTTACAGCAGATAAGAGGTAACAAGCAAAATTCTATAAAAAAAATTAAAAAGAAAGAGGAAGGCAACTAAAAATGCCAGGCCATTACTTAACAGGGAAGGAGAGCAAATAATAGATGATGCAGAGAAGGCTGGAGTATTCAATGTATTTGAAAAACAAAGCAATTTGTGATTAGATACTTAGTGAAATTAATGTTAAGGGCATAAGAGCTCAGTCCAAATCAGGAAAAGGACAGGTTAAAGATTATTTAGATAAGTCAGGTGTATTGAAGTTGGCAGGATCTGATGAAATTCACCCTAGAGTATTTGAGGCAGTGGCTGAAGCAATCCCTGAACCATTAGTAATTATCTTTGAGAACTCATGGAAGACAGGGGAGAGCCTCAGAGGAATGGAAAAGGCCAAATGTAGTGCCAATGTTTACAAGAGGCAAAAAGGAAAATCCAATGAATAATAAACCAGTTAGTCTAACTTCAATTCCTGGAAAGATTTTAGAAAACATTATCAAAAAAGCAAAAAAAAAAAAAAAAAAAATCAAATATCCTTTTATGACAGGGTAAGAGGGAATGAGGAAGCAGCAGGTGGGATATATCTTGAACTTAGTGGCTTTTGGCATTTGCCTACATGATCTTTGACAGAAACAGAAGGAAAGGAGACAAGACTAAGAAATCCGTGGTTCGACCCTCCCTCAACAGACTCATCTACAATCCTTTACTTACTTTACCTTTATGAGGAGTGATCACCCTTGACCGTGTGGGATTGCCAAATGACGACGTGATCTGATTAACAAACAAGAAAAACATGGTCTTGATTTAAATTACCATGACTGCTTTAAAAAAAAAAACAACACCACTCTCAAAAAGTACTTATCGATGGTTTGTTGCCTAACTGGAATGGAATTTCAAATAGGAGGTCAGTTCTGGGCGGGTATATATTCAATATTTTCATTAGTAACTTAGATGATGATATAGGGCAGCTCAACCAGGTAGAACAGTTCCGTGGACTGAATTTGAACTGCTGGTCTTATGTTTGCAGCCCTGAAATAGACTGCAGAATCTCTTTCATAGTCTCCTCATAGCTTCAGTGAAAATATTTGGACTAGATGACTTCCTGGGCTAGGGACAGACATTCAAAAAGCTGGAGCCTGAATTTATTCAGTCTTTGCAGGTTAGTCTAATGTGCATAGATTGAACCAATTTGCAAGTGAACAGACGTTCACTGTTAAGTTTGGAAATGCAGGCACATGCCTGCAGCGGCTAAGGCCAGAAGCCAGGGGGCGCTAGCACAGCCCTCAGCTGCAGGGAAGCTGTGCTGGTGGGGGTGTGGCCAGCTTGGGCAGTATCCTGGAGTGAACTGGCCAGGGAGGGGGTTTAATTACCTCCTCCCTGTCCCACCAGCATAGACCCAAACCACGGTCTGCCTGTTGCTCCCCCCTCACTGCTGCAACAGCAGGGGTGTGGCCCGATGCCAGCTGGCATGGCCCCATAGGCAGAGGGGATAGGGCAGGGGTTTATTTCTTCCTCTATCCCTTCTGTCCCTGGGGGACTGCAGTGGGATCTGCTAGCCCCAACCACCAATTGCTCCCTGTGTGGGGCAAGCAGCAAGATAAGCGAGGGGAAATAACCTCCCCCCTGCTTGGGGCTTAAGGGGACTATGTCAGCTGGCCTCTGGCCATGCCCCCACCCCTGCCCACTGGAGCAGCAAGGGGGAAGCAACCCTGATGGAGGCAGCACCCCCTCTCATGGTGTCTGGGGAGTACAAGCCTCTTTCCAGCAGGGGGTTGTTCTGCAGGTAGGGGTGAGAGCAGGGGGATGAGAGCTGCCATGGACTGTGCAGGATGAGCAGCAGCACCAGGACTTGGAGGGCTAGCTATAGCCCCCCAAGCCTCCCCCCAGCACCACTGCCACTCACCCCACACGGTCCATGGCAGCTCTCCCCACCCTGCCCTGACCTGCCTCACCCCCACCCGCAGTGTGACCCCCAACTGGAAAGAGGCTCATGCTCCATGACACCATGACAGGGGATGCTGCTCCCATCAGAGTCTCTCCCCACTTGCCACTCCGTGCAGCCTATGGCAGCTCTGACCCCCCACCCCGCCTACGGCCCCACCTGCAGTGCAGCCCACCCCCCCTGCCAGGAAGAGGCTTGCACTCCCCAGGAAACCATGTCAGGGCTCTGCCCCCCTTGCCACTCTAGCCGCAGGGGCAGGGGCCTGGCCAGACTCTGGCCCTGTAAGGGAGCAGGGAAGAGGTTTATTCCCCTCCTCCTTCCCCTGTCCCACCATCATGGGCCTTCCAGGCATTTCTCCACTTGCTGCTCCAGCAGTGGGGGCATGGCCAGCCCTGGCAGTAGTCTAAATGAACAGTCCAGGGAAGGGGTTTAATTCCTCCCTCCCTGTCTCACTGGCACAGACCTGAGCTGGGGTCTGCCTGTGCTCCCCACTCACTGCCACAGCAGCAGGGGCAGAGATAAAGGCCAGACTTCCTAGACATTAAATGCTGGAGGTTGCAAGTGAGAGGAACAGTGTGGGGAAAAAACCCTGGTCATATCCTGTTCACCTTCTGTGTCAGCATCAGCTCTCTGCCACTATGACACATGAGACAAGGGAAGATAGACCCATGATCTGACCCAGTAAATAGCACTTCTTATGTTCTTATGTCTGACACCCCTCATTTTAGACTCCAACTCACTGCCATGCCACACAGATCTGGTTTTTGCTACTTTAATTTATTAATGTAAAGGATCCAGAGTCTTGTTACTGTTGTCACAAAAACTTTATTTCTGAAGATACAGCATATTCAGGGGCAGATCTAGAGGGGTGCAGAACATGGTCACCCTTTCAGACCATGCCATGGGAGCAGCAGGGGG